GCATGAAGGTATGTTGTCCTCTACAGTAACCGGTGGTGTTTATTGGCTGTTTCATACTTGCCTTGTTACTATGACATTGACAGACCCCAAAGTGAAGTACAAAAGCGGTGGCCAAAACCCGCAGGCAGGGGCTCCCAGACAGTCCATAAGGGGTGAGATTCCAGACAACAAGGGCAACACCGTCACTGACGCTGGGGCCCAGGCCTCCACCAACATCCTCTTCACGCTGCCTCTGGACAAAGCCAACGCCCGAGCTGAGGGAAGCCCTAGCCGTGAGGATGCTCAGCGTTCCATCCAGCGCAGTTCTACCCACACGACCACCCTCAGCACGGAGTGCAGCAACTATCAGGTGCATGAGCTACAGCGCAGCACAGCAGAGGAGTCAGTGTCAGAAAATGCGCCGAGCTGGACTGTCCTCGCGCAGGGTCGCCACACCACAGGCTACAGGGAAAACCAATCTCGAGACCTGGATTACGATGGGTTTTCTGACCGAAACGATCGCGGTGGGTTCAGTATTAATAACCTGGTGTAATCTTGTCGTTTTTTACCGACAAGTCTGCCTGCTTGTTTCATTGTTCTTGTTATGAAATAATGCTGGTATTTTCGTACCCCGCGCATTCATCCATCTCATGGGGTGGTAGCCGAAGCACTTAGGCACGCTTTCGATTAGAAAGAATTACTTAGGTGCGGTTGTAAAATTGAGTAGCGTGCAATATAATCCCAGGGTATAGTTCAGTCCCGTCAGGATGCCGATTTCGTTCCGATCATTTTGTAAAAACACAGATGGTAAAGAGCGGCAGTTTAAGTAGGGTGCTTTTTTCGATGCTGATTTTCGATGGTTTTTTGATTCAAAAATATTCCAGATAAACAGTCACAGAAATAGATTCCGTGTACTCACTTTCTAGCAGAGGATAAGTCCTCCTAAAAAGTTAACAGTTGAAGAAGGGATATCCGTGTGTGGTTAAAAATTATTTTATTCCCGAACAATTTTGAAACCGTTTTGCGTTGCATTTGCATTTCCTGTTTACAAAATAACATCCGCATATTTTAAATATGAGAAAAATACTATAAGGCTTTCTGCCACTGAGAAGATGTAATATGGTGATTATAAAAGTTTACCCTGATTGGGAGCTGTGTTGTATACTCTATAAGTAGCCTCGATAAAGGAGACAAATGTGATGTTATTTGGGTGACAATTTTCCGGCTACAAAATTCGCATGATCCTATACATTGCAAAATCAAAATATATTCCCTTTTTATCCGTACACTTCGAAGGAGAAGTGATTTACTAACCAATGGGCTCAATACCGGAAAGTTTGTATATATTTCTATAAAATATGTTTGCATCTATCAGGACATATAAGAAGAATAGGAAAATGTAATCTCAGTAAATAGCACTTCTTTATAAAATATGATTTACATATACGAGAGGAGAAGTGCTTATTCCCAATTCGGCACCCTGGAAGGACTGAAATGTCTTTCGATTTTACTGTATACTACACAGTATTACAACCCCAACTTAAGCGCATGTTTCTACTTAAAAATACCCTTCGAAATGTGGTTAACAGCTCATAAGGTAGGTCACTTAAAAATGCCCAATGACCAGGGAACCTGGACCCCAATTTTAGATCACCTAGGTTTGGCTGAGCGTAGCTGGTCGACGATGACTAATAATTCAGAAACTGATATTCTGGCCTGCCTTGTTTTTA